CCCCAAAACCCCAAAACCCCAAAACCCCAAAACCCCTTTCATTAATAGAGGCTTGAATAAATTAATTTTAAAAGTATTTTACAGGAACAATACCTTCTTCGTTATCATCGCTGTCTTCATCGCTTGGTGGATTATCCTTCTGTGAATTAGACTTTTTAGAGGATTTCCGTTCTAACGAGTCCTCCTCTGGCATTTTTCCAAAAGGTTCTGCTGGCATTTGCCCTGGCTTAGTTGTATGCACCAAAGACATTTGCATACTTGAGCCCTTGTGAACACTGTAGCTCGAGTGCACACTATTTGTTCCTGACATCCCAGTGAAATTCACTGAATGGAGAGAAGAAGCAGAAGGATTCAGATTAGGATCCCTGTTCTCAGAATACCTAGATCAAGGAGATTTTTGGTAATTTGAAGTTGGAGTAAACTGATTGTTCTGGAAAGATGGTCTTCCCATGTCAGTTCCAGCAGGAGGTCTCTCGCTTGAACTACAGCTGGGTTTATAAAGGAAAGAAGATTTGAATGCTGGAGGTTTATTCAAGCCAGTGCTAGGAATCTTAGAAGGATCAAACCTTGATGGAGAAGTAGTAACAGGATTCATCGAAGGCTGGAACCTTGATACATTATTCATAGCTAATCCAGATTTTTCATTCAATTTTGTCTGGTCTGTAAGCTTTCTATTCAAATACTGATTAGTGCTTCTCAATTCTTCAGCTTCTTTGGCAATTTCCCTCAATTCTTTGAGTTCCTTTTCCACTCTGTTCTGATACTCCTCAGAAGTTTGTTCTAATTTCTTGAGTTTGTTTTGATCTTCGTAGTTCTTTTCCTTCAGAACCTTATTCTTTTCTTGCATTTTCTCAAAATATTTATTTCCTTTGTTGATCTGTTCGCAAGCAGTATTGAGCTTGAATTCCATTTTCTTAGTCTTCTTATCAAGTCCTTGCACTCGCTCCTTCAGTTGGTCTATTTGATTGCTCTGGGTCTTTATAATAGTATCCTTGTCAGCGACAGATTGAGATTTATCTAATATTTCCTTATTCAAATGCTCATTTTTGACCTGAAGTTCGGTCAGATTTTTGCTGTTGTTGATCTTGAGCTCACGTAGCTCCTTATTTTCCTCAATAAGTCTATTAACATCAGTCTTGTAGGATTCTCAGTCGTGTTGGAGGATTTCAATAGTTCTTGACATTTCTTTATTTTGGCCTTCAATCTCAATTTTGTTCTTAAGAAGTTGTTCTCTCTCCTTAGCTATAGCTTCATAGTCTGTTTTGTATCTGTCTAGCTCACTAGTTCTAGAACTAAGTTGGGTTTCAAGTTCTTGTTTGGCTTTAGAAAGGTCTTCCACTCTGAGTTTAGCTGATTTTCCTTCTGCTTCAGATTGAGAGAATTCACCATCTAAGGGTATTATGAAGGGAGTACTTACTCTTATCTTCTATCTGTCTTTGGAGTCCTTGAATGTGTTGTTTCGATCCTTCTAGTTCATGAACCTTCTCATTTAACTGCTCAGTGAGAGTTGATATTTTCTCTTTGAGATTTTTGATTGTATTGCTGAGATATCCTAGCTTATTCTCATCACTGGATTTATTTGAAAATGAAATAAACAGATGTAATCAGACTATATTGCTCTTTACTCTTTACAGAGAATCTGGCAGAATTGTTAGACTGATCAAAATCTAGGGTGCAGTATCTGTAAAATAGAGGTAAGTTGTGGGTCTGACGCTTATCAATTCAAGGCTCAAGGAAACTTGTGAAGAATACTCCAGGGAAATTATGAAATTCAATAGTAATCCCTTGGGTTCTAGAAATCTCGTGATAATCATTCTCTCCAAGCTCACAAGTATACAAAAATTGAGGATCATCTTCCATTGTAATCTCAAAGACTAGAGATTTTCTTGAAGCATTAGAGTCAAATTTTGATTTAATTTTAAAAAGGAGGCTTGCATTCCACTCTCCTTTCTCTGTTCCAGACATTACCACTGGAATCTTCTTGGAGCAGATATCAACGACTTTAGCCGTGTAATCAGTGTTTAATGAGACTGGTTTCACAGTGGTTGATATTTGCTCAAACAAATTAGTAGATTGAGCATAGTACATAGGTTTCTCTCTTTCCTCATGAGATGCTCCAGAAGGAGATCTCATTTCATTCTCAGCCTTATTAGGGACTGCATAATTGGTTCTAGGGTATACCATTGCAGGCTTTTCATTATTTTCAGAAAAATTATACTCAGACGCCATTGAAATTGACCTTTCAAAGTCATCATCCTCCTTCTTGATTTCGTGAATTCCTGCTGAAGGCTTTGGGATATTTTCCGCGGTAAAACTATTGCATCTGTTATCCATGGGAAATTGCATCGCAGTGTGCCCCCATCCACTGCTAGGGTTTATTGGCTGAATTTCTCTAAGTACTTGGGAATCATGTGTGAATTTTCCCTCCTCAAACTGTTGCATATTATAAGGATAATGGAGATTAGACGATTTTCCATAATTATAGTCCATTGTTTGCCAGAATTATAGAGTTTGAAAATTTAAATTATATGCCTGTCAATAAGATTTTTGCTGAAAGGGGTTTTGGGGTTTTGGGGTTTTGGGGTTTTGGGGTTTTGGGGTTTT